CACCTAATATTAAAAAATTCGCTAACCACTCAGTAAACATCAGAACGACTTCAAAACTTTCAGGATATGATTAATTTCCTCCGCTAAACCTGATCGTACAATCGAAAAAATTAGAAAAGGCATAGTTTTGGAGCTCGGTTTTACAAAAGGTTTTCCGTAAAACCGTAGGGTTTTGTGAGATTTCTTTTTAGATTTCCTATAAATAGGATAAAGAATAGCTTAAATACTCCACATTCTGAAATCTTGAAGTCGTTCTGATGTTTACTGAGTGATTAGCGAATTTTTTAATATTAGGTGTAAACAGCCTGAAAACACAAATTTTCGTAAAACTCGCTTTTCGGTAGAATTTTAAAACTTTTCTAGAAACAAATATTGCCACGAGACGCAGCGTGGTCGATTACGCATAGTTCATCCGTCTTGAAGGCTACCAATCGTCACTGGGTGCCAGTCATGGGACCGGACCGACTGGTCTGCCGATCCGGTTACAACTCTGGATGGCGCCATAAGACTGTCAGTGGAAAAGCCTATTATAGCTCACGAGGACGTCGATGCAGCGAATCATCGACCCTTCTTTCTATTCAAGGCTTCTGACACTCACAGGAGTACGCTATATCTTCATGTGCGTTTAATATTAGCAGACATAAAATGCTGAAAATATTTTACATTCAACACTTATTTCACCTATTTTGCAAAACTTCAACATAAATGGACGCACCTTACGTAAAACCTATTTTTCCCGATAGAGATAATACATTTCTACAAAACAGTCTTAAAGAAATCAGTATAAGTTGGGCATTGTACTAAGATATTTTTTAATAAAAGGCACGTTATTGAAATGCCGCGCCGCCCATATCGCTATTGAACCCAAGAAACAGCAAACTATTGAATCAGATGTGAGATGAGAAAGTTAACCGTCGATGATCAACCGGAACAGTATTTTTCGATCACTGCGACTTTCAACCTTTTCTTTGGACCGTGGCAGTCAAGTCTTGTAAAACATAAATTCATTGCGAAGCTAAGAGATGTAATTATTACAGCGAGCATATCTAACGTTAGTCTCTTTAAGAGCCTTTTTTTTTTACCGCACGACCTATTTTCACAGAGCATGGTTCAATCGAAAATCTCACGATTTTTTTGTCTATAAGGGACTTATAAAGGCAATATTTTGACGAACATTGACGAACACCGCATCAAGCTTATTCTTGAAAATCGATTATCCTGCGTTCATTTACGTCTAACAAAACTGTAGAAGTTGCTATTCAGCACGTCAGATATTTTTGTATACACTGTACACTATGCATTTTGTAATCAGACAACGGGTGTGAAATCGTTGATCAAATTATTGAAAACATTGAAGGATCGCAATCAAGTAAGTTTATTGTTTTGTAGACTTTATTATTGTTTAGCTGTTCATGCATACGATTCTAGGTTTAAAAATATGTCATGGAAGTCCGTCCACAGACTCAAGTCAGCGTGGATACAGCAAATGATGATGCTGAATCGGAACTGACCATTTGGATGAGACACAATAAAGCAACCAAATGGACAGCTAATTTGCTGTTTATATTGCATGAAAAAGCTCATCATAGTGTAGAAAAAGTTGCACTACCTTTTAATCAGACTATACTACTAAACACGGATGAGGTCTCAATTTCAGTTATTATTATAACACAGTTTAATGTAATATTTAGTTGTGCACAGCAACTTGGTCTTTCATCTCGTCCTTTCCAGTTAGCAACAACTAATCGATTGACAAAAGAAGAAGAGTTACTTACTTTAACGGGACAATCTAGTATCGACTGAAGTGATGCAAATAGAGCTTCAAATACAAGAAATTCGGTACTGTTGATAGTTCGGGAATGAGAATAGAAATGCATATAAGGTATTGTATTTTACTACATGATGAATGCGAAGTGTATTTGTGATTTTCATTTAGCTATACTGGTTAAGAAAACAGGTTAACAGAATGAAAGCAAGAGCTGTAGCTCTGTCGCCATTATGTAGAGACGATAATGATTGTACCAAAGCATCAGTTGTTAATATATCTCGCGCTAAATCTTTGACAGTATTAGGCAATCTTCACTTTTTCCTTCTCTGGCATTTTCAGTGTTTGAATCAATTTGTTTATCAGTTTCAGTTATTAGCTAAGCCTTTCCTTTTCTTCAGGTGTTTCAGTCTTGTTTCGACATGTTTCTGCTAGCATCGAGTTACAGTTTGCTTACCTTTGTTATTTATGGCTGTTCTATGTTTACGAAACTACTCTGATCAGAAAAGATTTTGTTTAAGCATAGTGGTTAATTTCGATTGACTAAATTAGTTGGTGATAAAAAAACTGCATACCATGCATTTTCATGAATAGACGATGAAACATCCACGTTTCTCCCCAGACCCAACCCCCAATGAAAACGGGCTCTCCGATTTAATCTCATTCAGAATAATGCCTGTTTCATTTTGTAGTGGGTCGTCAGGAATACTGTCCGAAATTCCATCATGTGGGCGTCTTTTCCAAGACGATTGTATGGCCGCTAAGAGGAAACTTCCAAATAGCCCGTTGACCGGAAAAAAAGATTGAAAAATTGATGAAAGATGTGAAAGAAAGACTGCGGCATCGTTTCCATCAATGCGGTAACATTAAGCAGCATCTTCCCCTCTAATTTTGCGGTTTTTATTGTAAATTTAGTTGACGGAAACAATGCTGCAGTCTTTCTTTCACATCTTTCATCAATTTTTCAATCTTTTTTTCCGGTCAAC